CCATTGCCCACTCCAGGTTGGGAGAGAATTACTGCCTCAAGATCTCGTGGTCTTCTTCACGAGTGAGGGTAGAATGGAGCGTGAGATGGATTGATGGTTTGGTGCGGTGTCTGCAGCAATGCAGGCGCTGTATCGGACCATTGTCATGAAGAGAGAGCTGAGCCAGAAGGCAAAGCTTTCCATTTACTGGTCCATCTACGTCCCAACCCTCATCTATGGTCATGAGCTTTGAGAAGTGACCGAAAGAATGAGGTCAAAGTGGCCGAACTGAGCTTCCTCTGAAGGGTGGCTGGGCTCAGCCTTAGAGAAAGGGTGAGGAGCTCGGACATCCGGAGGGAGCTCGGAGTAGAACCGACTGAAATTGCAAACTTTGAATGGGCATATCTCATGCCCCGTATGTCGTAGAGACATGAAACTTTGCACAGAGATGCCTCTCCTCATGAGGAACACATTTACCTCAAGAACCCATAACTTCCGGTTATATAGATTTTCCACCATTTTGAATTTTTTGAAAAACACTTCAAATCGATCTTTTCCTAGGAAGTTTGACTGATCTGCATGAAACTGGGTGAACATAATCTAGGGACCAATATCTAAAGTTCCCTCTTGGCAAAAGTTGGAAAACTTACTAAAACTGAGCTTCTATAAGGCAATGAATATTGCGGAGGGCGTGGCTCATCACATAAAGGTGTATAACATCTCAAGGGTTTCACCCATCACCACGCAACTTTGTAGGCATATGACCACACATAATCTGAGGGGACCCCTCCATTATTGACCCCATCAAACAAAATGGGGGCGCTAGAGAGCTAATTTCTTATCTAGGCCTAACCGCCATATTGATTTTTACTAACCTTGGTAGATATGTAGAACAGGACGCCTCAAGGTGACTGGAGAAATTTAACTCTAATTGGCAACTGGGTGGCGCTATAACAACAGAAAAATGCTTAAAAATGGCTAAAATGCGACTGATCACTGTGGCTCCCCCTGTGGATCAATGTTGTTGTTTTTTTCTAATGTTTGGTATGACTAAGTCACAATATGGTATGCTGTACTCAATGAGTATGGACTAGTTGCTGGACTAAACACAAAAAACATATGCTTATGAAACAGGCATCTGTATCATCAGATTCTTGTCAGTACATCAGATTCTTGTCAGTACACTGCCCTGTTCTCAGTCTGCAAGCAACATGTGCACTAGATCATCACTTCTAACACAAAATGTAATGGTAATGAAATTCCAGACATTTGTAACTTCCACTTGTGGAGTAGCTGTGTGCATATTTTCAAAGTACTTGTGTATCTTTGCCCCTTTTTTATCAGCAACAGTAGAGATGAAAATAATTGAAGGAAGAAAGAGGAGAGATGACACGCAAAAGTTTTTTGCAAGATTTGAACTTGTGATTACATGGACTCAGAGGCCATCAGGATGCTCTGCTGTTGTTTAGAGGTGATATTCAGTATTTTATTTCCCAGCAGGGGTGTGCGTAAGGGCTCAGGCAGATGTGTCTTGATCCTGGAAGCTTCTATGTCACAGTGAAGCTATGAAGAACTCAACTTTATTCATCTAAAATAACAGTTCATTCAGCTGTGAAAATGATTCAAGATTATCAAGAGGTCCGTCCACTCTCAGTCGCATCCTAATGTGTTTCCTGTACAGCTCAGGCACGGCTGCTGTCCAAGGTGCTGATCCTGAGACCGTCAGACATACAGTACAGGAGCTGTCCATGGTAATTACCACAGGATCCTCACTGGAGCAGTCTGATGACCAACAGGAAAACCTCAGAATAATTTCACTGTCATTGTTTCCATCTGTTTCTGGTGCTCTTTAACTGAAGGTGGTGTTGCGAGTGAGTCAGGTTGCTGTGTCTTGACATCATTTTGTTAGTTAACACCGCTGAGTCTGCCTCTCGGAGCTGTAGAGAGAATGTAGTTTTAGACAGCTTTGTGTGGGCTGCAGGGGCATATTTTACTGTCTGGCCTGCATCAGCGGAAAGCAAGCAATTCTTATACAGAGGATCCAAATTTGTACTTTTTTTGATTTAACTGTCTGCAGAAGTTTTTCTTTTTCATCAGACTAAATTGTCAGTAGACTGCTTTTATATATGTTGTTATTCTGATGCTCTCCCTCACACGCACATTCATTAAAAACAGTGAGGAGTATGATCGTTCACTTGGAGATTTGGGGTTGAGCAGATAATTAACTTCAACACTTAATGCTCAATGCCAATTCCTCTTAAAGAAATAAAGCAAATATTAATTACGTCATCACTGTGAAGTGTTTAAGATCTGTTGTTCCTTTAGTTACCTCGTCTTGTTTCATTATGTGCTTTGTAGCTCTTTTATTTTTACCACTGTGCCTATCAATTCAAGGAGGTCTCACTATTCATATGGATATTGGATATCTCATTTTGAAAAGAAGCTGCTGTCACGAGTTTGGTTTGGAAAAAAAGAAACCAACACAAGGGAGTAATAAAACATCCTATGCTTTTAGGCTTGACAGAGGCCATTATTTTAAAGTAGCATAATGTGAAAGTCTAGTGGCAAAGTAGCTGTCAGCAACATGTCAACAACGTGATGGATTAGTGCTACAGGTAGAGAAATCGCTCTGTAAAAAGTAGCTTTTAGTGGCAGCTGTTTTTTAATGTAAAAGTTGATCTGTGTCTCCTTTCACTTTACATTTACATCACATTGCACCCATTTATGGCTGTGGGTTTATATACTTTGTGGCTCTGATGTAAGACTAAGCTTTGATCGCATGCTCACATTGACAGTTGATTCCTTTACACGTTAAGGCCCTTGCTGCGCATTTTTATTGTTGCCAGGCAACCACCCCATCACCTTCTTACACTAACCTTTACATGTAATCAATCTATCTTTGTTTTATTCCACAATAATGAATCACTACTTCCCAAAATGAACAGGCAGAGGGTACTTGCTGTAGCTCTGGTTGAGGGTTAGAGTCCATCAGTAAATAGTTTCTTGGTCACAGATAAACAGAGATCTGTGCGGGTACATGAGACCCTAAAAAGAGGGTGGATCATGGGGAGTACCACCAGTTGGTCCAGGAGCTTCTCCTCCATGATGGACGTTTCCAGGCATATTTTAGTTTGACTTGGGGGCAGTTTGACAACCTGCTGTCTATCGTTGGGCTGTATAACTCTGAGTTTCCAGCAACCACTGCCACCAGTTTCTCCTCCATTGTTTACCAACTGTGAACTTGTTGTCGTGACCACCACAGAAGGCCCGCCTCTCAAATCATCCGATTGGACAATGGGAAAAAAGATGACAAGAAAATAGATGATGTGGGGCACTTTTCCACTTTGAGCTGAAGTTTTTTCAGAGCGCGCCGGCTTCATTCTTGTTAAAAACAATCACCAAAAAAACACCTCCAGCTGCTGATTTGTTTTCCGTGTGATATGAACAGTTGCATTTTCCAAGCATCTTTAGGGGTATAATGTTTGGGTGAAGTAAAATTAGAGCTTTATTCTAAACACATTATTTATGTTAGAAAATACTTGCTGAAAACGCATGAAAAGACTGTAAACTGTACAGCACTGCACTGTGGAGTTACACTGCTTTTCAAACACATTCACACTCCCAGCTCGTCAAAACTGACGCTTGGTCAGTGGCAAGCCATGTGGATGGTAAATGGACCTGCACTTGTATAGTGCCTTTCTGTCCACTCAAAGTGCTTTTTACACTATGAGTCACATTCACCCATTCACACACTGGTGGTTGAAACTACCATACAAGGTGCCACCTGCTACTGAGTTTTTAACACACTCACACGATGATGGAACAGCAATTTGGAGTTCAGTATCTTGCTCAAGGACACTTTGACATCTCCTGGAGGAGCCGGGGATCAAGCCGCTGATCTCCTGATCAGTGGACAACCTGCTCTATCTCTGAGCCACAGCCGCCCCACAAAACATAACATGCTCCTGAAAATATAAGGAGTATTCTCTGCTCTGAAACCGTGGGCGTGTATCTACTGAAGGCCAGTCTTGCCCTCCCGATAAAGCGGTGACTTTGGCAGCAACAAGTCGAAACAGTCAATGTGCTGGGTGCTGCAGGACGGATGGAGGTTGAGCCCCACACCTGTCATCTGCACACACTGTGGTGACTAAGAGCTGGCTAAAACTTGGCAAATTCTCCTTTTAATACATTACTCAAAATGCTGCTTTGTCACTTTGTCACACCATATTGGACTGGCAAAACTGGCCTTATTTAGGCATGCCCCCACGGTTTCAGAGCAAAGAATACTCCTCATATTTTCATGATTTTGAAACCTATTTTGATATACTTGGTGATTTTTTCGATCATTCAAAACTGACTGGGTGTTTAATCACACTTCTCTGTGTTGGGACAAACTCAAAATACACTTTATATTTGCTTGACCCACACTTTAACAACACAATGTACATTATTAGTCTCTGAGTGAAATTGGGTATTGATGCAGTCGTAACAGACTGTACTGAGATTAGTATTGAGTGTGTGGCGTTTGAAAAAAGAAAAAAAAAATTGCCAATCAGCCTGAAAATATTGGACTCTTAACTCTCTTTTATCATTATGGATATTCTTATTGGGGAAATGAATTGAGGTCTGCAAGTACCCTGAAAAGCAGCTGGTACATAAAACACCACATAATGAAATGATGCATTCCAAATTGTGTTTATTTTTGAAAATTACACTGAGCACCCCAAGGAGGGGTTATTGCTGCATTACACACTTAGGCACCACTGATTGGACTTTAATATAGTTTTTGGGAAAGATGAGTTCTGTAATGTTTTTTTTTTATAACGATGATAAGCTCAGGTGGGGGTGCAGTTACAGTCAACACAAGATAATGTATTCATTTTCTGCCCTCAGACTGAATCACATGACACAGCAGGGACAACTTGTTTTATCAATGGAATATTCTCTGATTTTGCGGCATCATAAAAGACAGAAGAATCAGAATCCACACTGAACTAACCACCTCTGTTTCTATTTCACAGCTCCACCCACCCCCATCGCTCCACCAGAGCTTCTAGCAGTTGGCGCCACTTACCTTTGGATCAAACCCAACGCCAACAGCATCATTGGCGACGGGCCAATCATCTTGAAGGAGGTGGAGTACCGAACCACTTCAGGGAACTGGGCAGAGACCCATGTGGTGGACTCTCCCACCTATAAACTGTGGCATCTGGACCCAGATGTGGAGTACGAAATCAAGGTCCTGCTCTCCAGGCCTGGAGAGGGAGGAACGGGGCCACCAGGGCCACCGCTGGTCACCAGGACCAAATGTGCAGGTAGGGGACTGCCTTTGTTTCTTATTCTTTTCAAGCCTTCACTTTTTCTTTTCTTGCATTCTTGAAGGTTTTACTTCAGTTTTTAAATTCCCTCTTAGGTTTGTTCTATTCTTTTATTTACCTCGTTCCTCTGATTGTTGCTTGCTTCTTCTTTGTCGTGCTTTGTTGTGGATGGCTTTATTATGGTCCAGGGTGGCCTTGCTATGCTGACAGAAACAACTTCTGTGTCCTTGTGTTTTATGCTCAGAGTGAAAACTGAACACTCCGCTCACTCTTGGTTGATGTTGATGTTGGATGATTGTGGTTAAAAAGCTGCAAACTATAAAGTAAGGTTTGGATATATGGATAGGTTTTGGTTTGAGTCTAAGGCTCGGTCTGAGTCATCTGATTTGGAGACAGAGAGGCGAGAAGGCAGATGAGCAAAAGGCCAAGAGAAAAATAAAAAGAAGTAAAAGAGAAAAATGGAACAAGAGCACAAATCAAAGATGATGATAATTGGGATGTTAAGAAGGTGCCCCAGAGATGGAGAAGAGGTGGAGTGCGGGGGGTTGGAGGAGGAGAGGAGGAGGAGGAGGGAGGAGGAGAAGATGGGGGAGGTTAGGTGGGGGCAATCATGGCCAATAATGAGGATCCCAGCGGGGGTGTAAGGACACAACGAGTGGCAGTTCATTTGATAATATGACAGCCCATCAGATCTCTGATGGAGGCGTGTGTGTGTGTGTGTGTGTGTGTGTGTGTGTGTGTGTGTGTGTGTGGGTAGATGAGTTAACCCAGCAGGAGGCCATCATTACCACTCTCTAGCCCCACTACCACTGCTCTCTGTGAACTCTGTTGTTTCCTGTCCTCTTTATTCCTTCTGAGAGCTTTGATTCTCTGCCTGAACCTCGCTGTGCCCAACCTGACCAGGGCTGTAAGTTCTCAACATTTTCTGCAGCTTGAATTGGATCGGGTTTGCACTAATTTCCATATTTGTATATGAATTCACAAACTGTTAGGGTTTACTCTTACTGCACTTGATGCTCGGCTGCTGCATCTCCTTAGTCTTGGTGTCTCAGAGTCCTAAAGCTGGTGTTCTGAAAAGCCGAAGTGCCAAATGGTATATTCCAACAGCACTTTGAACTTTTGAGCGGTCCAGTTTTTGCCAGAATCGGTTCTGTGCTTAGACTGATAATTTAGAAATGCAAACCGTGTCATAAATTGCTGTTACTGCACTCAAAAGAATTTTGTTGACTTTCACTTGTAATTTTTTTCGGAAACCCCAGAAATTCTTGTTTTTAACTGGGCTGGCCCAAAATTTCAGCTGTGGTTCAGACTCGGGTCAGGCTCTGACAAAAACTAAGTAGGTTCATTAGGGGTCGGGGATGATTTGTGGGCGCTGGATCAAAGCTGTGCTTCCTTAACACTGTCTTACAGAAATACGTGAAATGGACACAACCCCTTAACAGTGCATTAAGTGGTGATGGGCACAGAATATGTCAAACCGACATGCTGGCAACATGAAAAATGTTAATGCAAAGTCTATTACAAACGATCGCTGTTTGGTTAGGTTTATGGAGAGATAAACACTAAACACAAAATATTTGGTCAGGTTTAGTAAAAGATCGTGATTTAAGTTGACAGAACTACGTAGGAGATACAAGTGGCATATAAAGCTATGTACTTCACATCGTTCCTACATAAAGTACTTTGCGTAGTAACACAAAGTACCTACATAAAGTCTATAAAGTCTCATAACTACATTGACTGTATACGGGACATGAACAGTGGTCTCCTGGTTGAAGGTTCTTACTTGACTTATTTGACCAACACATTCTCACTCTGACCTTGTTGCAGATGATGTTTGATCATGGACTCTCCACGTCTACATATGTGCAGCGTACCCTGGGTGCTTTGGTTGTTGATGTTCTGGGACACAAAATAAACACACTACGTTGGTACAAGATCGGGAATTTACTTTTTTCCCTTCAACAACTAATGCACGTGGTTGGGTTTAGGAAAAAGCAGGGTTTGGCTTAAGAATTTTACGGGACGTGAACTCCGCTCTCCCACATAAAAGTTTACTCAAGAGAAAGCCAAAGAATTTGTGCATCATGACAATTTATAGTGTCTGACAAACAAGCAGTATCAGTTGACACACCTACAGCTTTCCAGTACACATTAAAAGGTGTTTTCTGTCACTTAAGCTACTGTTTTCTTGTTACTCAGGCATCCAGCTATGAAAACAATCGCTTCAAATGTGGCCCGAATCAACGCCACATCATTTAGCTGAAGTCACGTCAGGATGATAGGTTTATGTCAGGGTCACGTACACTATAGTGGGTGTTTGTTGGACCCATTCAACAAGCCTCCCACCCACCCTACTTGGACTTTTACAGCCTTAACTTTAGTTCTTGTCCTGCTCTGTTTCCCCCTGACGCGGCCGGGTGCCATTAAACCATAACAGCGACCAGCCACGTATCATGCCAACATTAACATTATTTTCGTCCGTGTCTGACACTGGAAGTCATTGCCGAAGCGCTGGATTTTGAGGACTTCGGAGTGAGACCGGGTTGGTTTAATCCACCCACCCTACACCAAATTTCTTGCTCTTTATGCTTAATTTGTGCCTCCATCACAACATAAGGTCCTCACTGAATTTGCATTGTCATTGCTTGAATTCACGTTGTTAAGGTTTTGTGTCCATCTTAGGTATTTCTATAAAACCAGGCAGGTCTCTTTCCCTTTTTCTGACTCATCTACAAAATGTCCTTCCATCTTTTCTGTCTGTTGTTTTCATTTGGCCTCAGTTTTCATTCTCTCCTCATTAATCCTTCCTCTTTTGACCTCTCTTTTTTGCTTGATCTCTCTCCAGTTATCCCCCCCCTTCTCCCTTTATTGCTCTCTATCACTCACCCACTTACTTCTTTCCATCCTTTTCTACTGCCCTTTTTTTCCTCCATTGTTGTAACTCTTTTTCTCCTTTATGTCTTGTTTTTTAATTTCATATTCACCTTTTGAACTTGCATTATCTTCTTTTTTTAATTCTGTTTTTCTTATTGTTCCCACTTGTGCCAAAACTCTTGTTTCTCCCATTATCTTTCTGTGTTCCACTTCCCCACCTCTCCATCTCTCCGTCTTTATATTTTGTTTTTTACTTTTCTTCTTCTTTATGTCATTCTCACACAGCCATTTTTTTTCTCAAGAGCTGTTGTCTGATGCAGAGAAAAAGAGACAAAAGCTTTTGTGAGTGATTTCTTTGCTGTGAAGAGTAGAGATGGAGGGAGTAAGACAAAGGGAGGATGAGAGGAGGAGGAGGGTGTGGAGAGGTTGGTGAAGGTGTGACAGCGCTGGTCTGAAAGAGATTCTGCTCGATCTGCATCCATCCTCTGATTCACAGTTTAGAGACGGAGAGATAGAGAGCACTTGAATGGCGCTGCCGCACTGTTTTATTTTGTGTGTTTCTGACAATGCCTTTATCTTCTCTGCAAGACAGCATAGCGTGTGTGTGTGTGTGTGTGTGTTGTTTATGTATAAAGAAAGTTCTGTCAAAACTTTGGAGAATTAAGTTGGCAGGTGCTTTAATTGGAAAAGGTGTGTGCCTGATTGTTCACATATTTTGGTTTTGTGTGTCTGTGTCTGTGTGTGTCAGTTTATTTGTGCTATCTTCTGTCCGCCCCTTGAATTTTTTTACTCCATGGTAATCAGCAGGTGAAAATTATGTGTTAACAGTACAGACTTTCTCTCTGACTCTCTCTCTTCTCACTTTTCCACTTATTCTATTTCCATCTCATTCTTCCATATTAAAGAGTAACACTATTAGATATTGTTCTTATTCTTAATAAATCCCCTCCCCACCCTGTCTGTGACACTCAGCCCAACCCCTCTTTGTTACTACTGAAGACGCCAGTCTTTTTGTTTTTCTCTTTGAAGACTCAAAATTATATAGCTCCATTTATTAACCCTCTATAAAACAGACCTCCGGTGGGCGGCCATGTAGGGTTGTTGTTTTCATGACCCTGTTTAAAATCAGTCTAAAATAAGAAAGTGTAACAGCTAAAGCATTCATTCTGTTTGCAACAAAAACCTAAAAAATCAGCCTTTTAAACAATCATGTTGTCAGCATGCAATGACGTCATTATGGTTTACTACAAGTGATCCAGAAGACAGAGAAAATGCATGCTGATACTATATTGTCCTTTCATGGCCGCAGGTTACATTGTGTCCATGAACCTGTTTAAAATCGATCTAAAATAAAAAACTGTAAGAGCGAGAACATTCATTGTTTTTGCAACAGAAAGCGAAGACTTTGGTCTTTCACACCATCATGTCGTCTGCATGGAATGACATCATAACATTATGCTAAAAGCGATCCAAAAGATGCCATATTGTCCCGTCATGGCCGCGGGATATCATTGTTTACATGATGCTGTTTAAAATCAATCAAAAATAAAAACTATAATAGAGAGAGCATTTTTTTTTCTTGCAGCAGAAACTAAGAGTTCTCTCTTTTGCGCCATCACGTTGCCCGTTTGTAATGACGTCATCATGTTATGTTACAAGCAGTCCAAAAGACCATGAAAACATGCAGTGGCGCCACAGTATCGTCCCGTCACGGCTGTGGGATATTGTTGTTCCCATGACTTTGTTTAAAATCGATCTAAAATAAAAACTATGAGAGCTAAAGCGTTTATTCTTTTTGCAACAAAAAGTTAAAACTTTTGCATCGCAGCAGCAAATGAGGCGTGATGGGCGTGACATGTTACACAAAAGCATTGGCCTCTAGTGTGACATATAACATATGCGTCGGCACTCCTTTATAAACAATCACAACGGCATTAACATGGCAATAACACTTATTTACCATCCCTGTTATATGGCAGCTGATCTTCGTCTCTGCTCTGAGGGTAAGGAGCTCCCCGACCTCATTGTTTTCCCAATTTGTGCACATTTTCCGCTGCTGTTCTTCTTTGAGTTAGCTGCCAACTGCTATCAGCTACTTGTCAAATCTCCTGTAGTGGGTC